TGGTCATTGATGATGTCAAGTGTTTTGACCAGGTCACCAATCTGAAGAAATTCACAGATGAGGAGTCCAGTGGCCTGCAGGTGCTCCAGAAGTGGACCAGAAGCATGTTACTCAGAACTACTGAAGATTGCACGGTTTGTCTTTGCACTTTCCTCTCACAATGCAAATGTTGAGAGGGTTTTCTCACTGATGCAGAGCCAGTGGACCAAGGAGAGGAACCAGCTGTCTGTTGAGTCACTGACGGGGATTCTATTTGTGCAATACCATTTGAAAGACATGTCTTGCAAAGACTTTCATGCTTATTTGTTGAGCAACCGAAAACTGCTGGGAAAGATCAGCTCCACAGCTAAAGATGGGCAGACAAGGAGGATGAAGAAGAAAAGCAGGATGAAGAAGATTGAAGTAGCAGCTATGCAGAGAGAGCAAGCTATGTAGCTGTGGGAGAGAAACTTTAAACTTTTCATTTTAAATTGGGACCCTAGAAAACTGTTTGAAGCTAGAAATATGTGAAAAGTTGTGGTTTCACTGGTTGTTTACAATGACAGGGCCTGGAATGGTGTTTACAAACATTTAAAGTAGTCTTATATTTGGTTCATGGTGCCTCAAAATGTGTTTGGTTTGATTTAGGTAATCAAATGTTATGTTATGTTCACTAATGGCAATTATGCAAATGTGAAATCCAGAACTGCATAGTGCACTTTTAAAATAATTAGATTAGTATCTATGTGAGGTTTTATTGTTTACATTGACAAGATACAAAGAGATTATTTGTTAAAGCTGGATTTTCTATTTTCTACTATTTCATATATTTTGTTATTTATTTGTGTCCAGTAAGATTTGAAAAGAGAAATATTATTTTGTTACAGGTTGATGTTTAAGTTATTCTTGTGCATTTGAGATTTGTCAGAGATAATTCTAGGCATAATAAAGCATGTTGATTGTTGAGTAACCTTGGTTTGGTGTGTCTTTGGTTATAGAGATATTATTGTGTTATATCCAGTCAAATAATATAAATAATAATTGTATATCCATACAGAGGAGGCATACTTTAAAACAATAAGGCATCTTTGAGTAAACGTTGAGTATCATTAAGTATCTCGAGGCTGGGGGCAGCATGTCCTCTTTTTTGGAAATCAAAATATGGTCACCCTAACGTTAGCAGCATCCACAGCGTGCAGGGAACAACTCTGATTTATAACCTCAAACTGCAACTTAATCAACAGCTTTATATCAGAAGAGAGGCGAAAAACCTCCCAAACCACGAACACCATGTACTGCATCTTTGGTATTGTTCATTGAGAAACCCTTAGTGTCAGAAAAATGACATATTGTGCATTAAAGGCGATAATAGGAGGTGTATGCTAATTAGAGGGGAATTGTAAACAGAGCACTGCAGAACTAGCACTTGAACATGAGGTAAGAAAGCGTGATTTAAATCCACTGCAGCACCTACAGTGCGATTTGTCCAGTTTCAGTCCACATATAATGATGTATAATGCACTGCTACCACTGTGAATGATTACACACTATGTATAGACCTCCTTCATGTTGTAACTGATCCCCCTGTGACCAATTAATCAACATAAAAGGCCAGCGCCATTGTAGTTCAAAGTATTTGTAATATTTCAGTGTAATGGCCTGCCTGTGCTGTCCAATACATCATTTTTAATTGTCTCATTAGAAGATGCTGGAGCGCAGGGTTTGGAGAAAACAACAATAGTTCTGTTTCTGCACACCTTTGAAGATGTCCACTTACCTGTGCGAAGCTTCGGGCCCAGACGTCCTTCTTCTGGATCCACAGCAACCTGCCTGGCTCTTTGAAATCTCTGCAGAAATACAGAATCACCAAGTGGAGCGCTTTGATGAGAGAAAGCCTAGGCAACAGTCGACAATACAAAACACTGACCTCATTAAAAACAAAAGTGGCCAGGATTCTGGGCTGAAAGCGACTCTCTTCAGCTCCGTGACTAATTGCTGGAGTGCTTTTTAATGAGGAACAGTTCGGCCATGAAGTGAAAGAGATATCGTACCAAAAGAAAGTTTGTGTTTACATGTCCATGCCGTGAAATACTACAACAGCTGCCTTTAACACGCACCTTAATATGTTCTGTTTGACAGTTCAAAATAACACTTAAAGGCGGGGTAGGTAAGTTTGAGAAACCGGCTCGAGATACACTTTTTGTTATATTCCATGGAATGCTCTTAACATCCCGATAGCAATGAATATCTGAAGTGCTTTGACAAAAAATCCATAAAAAATGTCACAATGGAACCGTGGCGCTGTAAAAAGCACGACCAATCATCTGAGCCGGCTAAAGTAACTGGATGGCCTACCTGCCTGTCAGCCTTCCTTCTGTGCACAGACTTATCTCGTGCCCTCATTGGTCATGTGCGCGTTCGTGTGTGTTGGAGGAGGGGCTCTGTGAGGAAGTGGCAGATTTCTTCCGGTTGTGTATTTTCAAATTCTAGCGCACTCGAGCTGGTTTCTCCAAAATGACCTACCCCACCTTTAACTAGATCAGTGTTTCTCAAACTTTTTCATACCAAGGACCACTTAACCAATAAAAAAAACACTCGCGGACCACCTAACTCCACACATATCCAAAAACACATCGTTTTTTACAAATCGCCTGGAAATTGTACAAACAAGTGGCAACATGTGTGATGAAGGTGGTTATCTGGGCTATATCATGCAATCGAAAGTGAAACTTAAGCTCGTTCCATTGCGGGGATATTCCCGCGAGAGTGCGAAAAACTTAAATAAATTTATTTATTTCAAATGTGAAATTTTACCAATATACTCACGGACCACTAGGGGGCACTCACGGACCACCAGTGGTCCGCGGACCACACTTTGAGAAGCACTGAACTAGACCACTAGTTTTTTAACCCGCGCCGCCTAGTGGTTAAAGCACGTTATTGAATTTAGTTGTTGAATACGTTTTATTTGATGAAAACATTTAAATATTAAGAGTAGCCTACATACACAATAAGGGTCAATGATAGAAATATAGAATAGAAAATATCAAGAAGATACTGTAGTGATCTCTACAATAAAACAGTTTAGTGCAGGATGTAGTGGCAGATTTTTTCCGGTTGAGTATTTTCAAATTCTAGCGCACTCGAGCTGGTTTCTCCATTCTTACCTACCCCACCTTTAATACTGTTTTGTAAGCTTGATTCTACTCTAATGGATAATAATAAGCATTATTGCTATGAAAGCTTCAGAAAGCTGCAGGTACTTTCTAATATCTGGGTCTCAGAGGCTCGAGCTGCTCTGTATTGTTGTTGAAGGTATTCTAATGCAGCATTATCCTCTTGAAAAATCCAAAATAAGTCTATGATGGAAACTGCCTATGAGCGGTCACCAGAGGTATTATTATTAAGTGTATGAATGTTAATTTACTCTATTTTAATACCTTTGTCAAATGTGCCCTGCCCAGATTGTGGCAAAGGGAACCAGTCAATGCCTTTCTATATAAAAACAAAAATAACACAAAATGTTGAGGAACAAATAGTTAATCTTGCAATTACTATATCTTTTTTTTTTACTAAAACAGCAGTGAGCCTGTGGGGTGAACTTAAGGTGAGAGTTTGCATAACAGTGGGATTTAATGTAATAGTTTACACTTTACACAACAGATGACAATATCAAATTAGATGGATAAGATAATAATAAACATTGCTTTTATTGAGTGTATATAGCTGTTTAAAAAGCATTATTCCACTTAAATACAAATTTAAAAGGTTAAAATCAAGGAAATATTTTAACCTGGGCTAAAGTTAATTAATAGTTGTTGTTAAATCATTATTCCATCATAAATGTACATTTTAAAAGTAAGAAAAACATGTATTAAATATAAAAAATGTGACCTTAAAACACAAAGTGTACTAAAATAACATTGCACAGAAATAGCACTTAAGCTAGGCTGACATTAGCATCTTGCTAGCTAGCATAGCAGCTAACGAGCTACAGCAGGTGTTTGTGTGACCAAAAGCAGGCTAAAAACTGATTAAATATCAGACTTACATTCATCAGCTGGACTCCAAAGTGAATTATAAAGTTGCTCCTTCACTGTCTGATGCAGGTTAGGAAGGAAAATGTTTGCTAACAAAAACATTTAGCCAAAAAAACAAAATCATGCTAGCCGCTAAATTAGCTTTTCTTCTTCTTTTGTTTTAATGGTGGTGTACAAACCAACGTTTAAAAGGTGCTTACCGCCACCTACCGTAACTTCAAGACGATGCTATATTCTAGAAATTAAACCTGTGTAATATTTAAATAAACCCCTTTGAACCTGAAGCACTTTTTCCCCCAATGTCTAACAATCCTTGAATACTCCACTCCCTTCCTCTTGCTATCAACCTATTCTTCAGTATTTCTCTTTCTGTAGTGAATCTTTTACTACCTAATAACACATGTTCAACTAAATAAGTTCACTTAGAAAAACTGATTATAACCAAATATTGTTGGCCATTCTCGTGTTCTTACTATACAGCAAATGGCAGCTAATAACATTTGTCAGGAAAGGTTAAAAAGTCTCTTTTCCCCCTGTTTTTCCTCAGAGAAAACCCATGACAACAATAACTGACTTTCTTTAGACGGAGGACACTCTGACTATGGTGGGGTTTGAAACCTACAATCAAATGCTCACGTTCGGCTCCATATTAGTATGTGCCTCTACTATACTATGACATGTGTCCATGCACACGTATACAAAAGTGAAGTCCAGAGAAAAAAGTTTAAAAAATAAGAAAAAAGTGAAATTTGGAAAAAAAAGAGAAATGTTGAAGAAAAAAATGAAATTATTTGAAAAAAGTGAAAATCTGGGAAAAAGTGACTGGCCGGCTCGGTTGGGATTGGTCAGCCACTTAGAGATGTCCCGCCTCTTAGCCTATCACGTACGATCATCATCTGCCTTTTCTTGTACCAGACGATTTCTGATTGACAGCGCGGAGGACCAATCAAAACCTTCTGTTCACGCTACGCACTAAGTAAACAAACTCTTATCCAGGAAGTAACTGAGCTCTGTAACTGTCGGCAGGTAAATGATTCGGTTGTGGCTCTGCGGCACTAAAACTACCCGGGTTAAACTGTCGGTTTTATTCCGTAGAAACATGTCGGTACCGTCCGGTGGGAGTGACGGTAACAGCAACCGGTCTATTCACTCGGACAGCGTCGCGGAGGTACACAACATCCCAATGCGCGTCATCATCCGACCGATCCCTCCGCAGCTGGACGAGCAGAAGGTCCAGAGTCTGGTGGAGACCCTACAGGTAAACACCTTTATATTAAATATATATACAGGTGGAGGAAGTACTCAGATCTGGTACTTAGTAGAAGTACTCAGATATTGTACTTACTAGAAGTAAAGTACTCAGATCTGGTATTTACAGTAGTAGAAGTAAAGTACTCAGATCTTGTACTTGTAACAGAATATTGCTACACTCTGCTACTACTACTTGTACTCAAGTACAATAACTGTACTGGGTACACATTACATACATGAGGTTTTGAAGTTGTAGTTATTGGGTTAGGACCAATTCATCTACCTAATTATTATTTAAGGTGCCTCCACAGTTGTTCCACCTCTACCAGTATGATCATTATAATAATTGTTTTAATATATGTTGGAGAGAAGCTCCCTCTGGAGGAACACAGGGGTTTTAGCCGTTGCAGACCATTTACACACAACAGCTATAGAACTACAGGGACTCTTTAAAGTACAATTAGCTCATCATTTGTTCTTATTTAGACTTGCAAAATCGTGTACTTTCCGATTGTGGTATTAAAATACTACCTTCATCACTGCCTTTGTTCTTACTTGTGTGTAATGTTCAGCCTCTCATTCATACCGTAGCCTTTGTGCTGTGTCAGTTCTGTGTATCGTTTATATATGTTGCAATGTGACAGACCTCTCTCTGTCCTCCAGCAGACGGCGGACATCAGCGTTGTTCCTCCCATCGACGTGCTGTGGATCAGAGGCAGGGAGGGGGGGGACTACTTTTACTCGTTCGGAGGCTGTCACCGTTTTGCTGCCTATCAGAGGCTGAACATGGACACCATCCCCGCAAAACTCATCAAATCCAACGTCTCTGACCTCAGCACCTACCTGGGAGCCTCCACACCTGACCTGAGATGACCTGAGAGGACCTGAGAGGACCTGAGAGGACCTGAGAGGACCTGAGAGGACCTGAGAGCGTTAAAGTACGCACATCCTTCACTCAAGTAGAAGTACAGATACTGGTGTTTAAAAATACTCTGGTGAAAGTAGAAGTACTGACTAAACTTCTTTACTCAAGTCAAAGTAAAGAGGCGTTGAAATGTACTTCAGTAAAAAGTACCCATAACTAGCAGCTGTTTTAAAGAGTACCTGACCTCCCTTTATATTAATAGAACAATAATGTCATTGTTAGCTAATGAATGTTTCCATGCTGAACAACGGCAACATGACAACGTTTCCATTGGTCCCTCTTCTTTAGAGAAGACCAGGAAATGATGGATACACGGATCGTGTTCAAATCAATAGGCACGCAATGACTCTAAAGAATAATGATCACGCATCAAACACACATTCAGACTAAAGGAACCAGCTGTTTGGGAAATGAGAGAAGTAGAAAGTACAAGTATTTGAGTTCAACATGTAAGAAGTAGAAAGTACAGGTATTTGTGTTCAACATGTAAGAAGTAGAAAGTACAGGTATTTGTGTTCAACATGTAAGAAGTAGAAAGTACAAGTATTTGAGTTCAACATGTAAGAAGTAGAAAGTACAGGTATTTGAGTTCAACATGTAAGAAGTAGAAAGTACAGGTATTTGAGTTCAACATGTAAGAAGTAGAAAGTACAGGTATTTGGGTTCAACATGTAAGAAGTAGAAAGTACAGGTATTTGAGTTCAACATGTAAGAAGTAGAAAGTACAGGTATTTGGGTTCAACATGTGAGAAGTAGAAAGTACAGGTATTTGTGTTCAACATGTAAGAAGTAGAAAGTACAAGTATTTGGGTTCAACATGTAAGAAGTAGAAAGTACAGGTATTTGAGTTCAACATGTAAGAAGTAGAAAGTACAGGTATTTGGGTTCAACATGTAAGAAGTAGAAAGTACAGGTATTTGAGTTCAACATGTAAGAAGTAGAAAGTACAGGTATTTGTGTTCAACATGTAAGAAGTAGAAAGTACAGGTATTTGGGTTCAACATGTAAGAAGTAGAAAGTACAGGTATTTGTGTTAAACATGTGAGAAGTAGAAAGTACAGGTATTTGGGTTCAACATGTGAGAAGTAGAAAGTACAGGTATTTGTGTTCAACATGTAAGAAGTAGAAAGTACAAGTATTTGGGTTCAACATGTAAGAAGTAGAAAGTACAGGTATTTGAGTTCAACATGTAAGAAGTAGAAAGTACAGGTATTTGGGTTCAACATGTAAGAAGTAGAAAGTACAGGTATTTGAGTTCAACATGTAAGAAGTAGAAAGTACAGGTATTTGAGTTCAACATGTAAGAAGTAGAAAGTACAGGTATTTGTGTTCAACATGTAAGAAGTAGAAAGTACAGGTATTTGGGTTCAACATGTAAGAAGTAGAAAGTACAGGTATTTGAGTTCAACATGTAAGAAGTAGAAAGTACAGGTATTTGTGTTCAACATGTGAGAAGTAGAAAGTACAGGTATTTGAGTTCAACATGTAAGAAGTAGAAAGTACAGGTATTTGGGTTCAACATGTAAGAAGTAGAAAGTACAGGTATTTGGGTTCAACATGTAAGAAGTAGAAAGTACAGGTATTTGAGTTCAACATGTAAGAAGTAGAAAGTACAGGTATTTGGGTTCAACATGTGAGAAGTAGAAAGTACAGGTATTTGTGTTCAACATGTAAGAAGTAGAAAGTACAGGTATTTGAGTTCAACATGTAAGAAGTAGAAAGTACAGGTATTTGAGTTCAACATGTAAGAAGTAGAAAGTACAGGTATTTGTGTTCAACATGTAAGAAGTAGAAAGTACAGGTATTTGAGTTCAACATGTAAGAAGTAGAAAGTACAGGTATTTGAGTTCAACATGTAAGAAGTAGAAAGTACAGGTATTTGAGTTCAACATGTAAGAAGTAAAAAAGTACAGGTATTTGTGTTCAACATGTAAGAAGTAGAAAGTACAGGTATTTGGGTTCAACATGTAAGAAGTAGAAAGTACAGGTATTTGTGTTCAACATGTAAGAAGTAGAAAGTACAGGTATTTGAGTTCAACATGTAAGAAGTAGAAAGTACAGGTATTTGTGTTCAACATGTAAGAAGTAGAAAGTACAGGTATTTTGTGTTCAACATGTAAGAAGTAGAAAGTACAGGTATTTGTGTTCAACATGTAAGAAGTAGAAAGTACAGGTATTTGAGTTCAACATGTAAGAAGTAGAAAGTACAGGTATTTGTGTTCAACATGTAAGAAGTAGAAAGTACAGGTATTTGAGTTCAACATGTAAGAAGTAGAAAGTACAGGTATTTGAGTTCAACATGTAAGAAGTAGAAAGTAAAAAGTGGTCAGAAAAATAAGTAGTGAAGTACTGATACCAGAAACATGTACTCAAGTACAGTAACGAAGTATTTGTACTCCACTACTTCCCACCTCTCCTGGATCTGCTTTATAAGTTATAACATACTCTGTCAGGTGGCTCACACACACACACACACACACACACACACACACACACACACACACACACACACACACACGCACACACACACACACACACATGTACTCCTCTGGACTGCAGAGCAACACTTTGACCAGCAGGGGGAAATAGAACTCTTTAGTCTTTCATTCAGACCTCTGAAGTGTGTGAGAGAAATGATACCAGTAATGGGACTCAATGAAGTAAAACTGCACAGAACGGATGGTTTGAAACATTGACGACTTTACACCATTTCGACCAATCAGAGTAGAAGTATTAACCATGTATCTGTTTTATTTAAAGATATGATATGCAATGTAATAATGATAATAATAATTTTCTGCATTAAAATGTGTAAAAATGATTTGAAATGATCTCTTGATGATGTTATTAAATCCATACGGTTCATCCCTCCATCTAAACTACTTCTCCCATCTTTAATCCGCAATCAGATGGAATGATGTATGACTCACTTTGCATGTGTCATCTCTAATGCTATGAGGAAACCATTCTATTGAATAACATGCACACATACGGCGCACTCGCAGAGCTCTGACCTCTGAAATGGCCCAAAACCTGGCTCAAGCTGCACCGTGACCTCACGGGAAGAACAGCAGTTATTGCACTCAAAACAATATGATAAGATACGATCGATATGATAATATGAATATTCAGAGACTGTTATTGTTAATATGTCATTACGGTCCTTCTCAGAGGTGTTTGAGCCGCAGTCTTTGGTGCAGCAGTCTTGACTTGAAAGCGGTGGACTAACAGCCCTTATACGATGTGGTATTGCGATACTGTACACTCACAGATTAAAAAAAACTGAAGAATAGATGAGAGTAACACCTACGTCACTTCCGGGCGAAAATTACGGCCCGCCCACTTTTTGGAGAAAACATAACAACGCTGTCGTTTGAATGGCGGTCGATACAAATTCTGAAGGCTTTGCCCATCCGATCAGAAATGTAAGAAAACCGTCGATTTGTGGATCTTCAAAGAGCCCGGTTACGATGGCCAGTCAGGCGAACAACTACATTAAATCATTGGGAATCGTCGATCGGGCTCGATATATGGTTACTTAAAGTATAATAATTGTTAACGAAACACGTCTCTATAAACACACCATTGACTGAAAAGGAGCAGGGAGAAGAAAATAATCTGATATGACCCGCCCCTTTCTAAAAATAAAAAAATAGAAATAGCCTAGATGGTCTGTCCTTCATATTTCTTTTTCACAGCCACACATAACAGTATCTTAGGATAATAAGAGAAACACACAAAATACTTGGTTCCCACTTGACGGAAAGAAACAAAACAAAAAAACAACAACACCAAAACATCCCATGAACAAGGAACACCGTGTGCAACACCCTCATCTGAGGCCTACTGGAGAAGAAGGTGGAAGCGGCGCATAATAATTGGTACCACTTTACAATCAGACTACCCATATAAGGGATTTATAATTAGGTTATGAATTAGCTTGTAAACACTTTATTAATCATTAAGTACCATTTATAAACCAGAGGCCTGTACTACGAAGCCGGATGTTCTCTTAGCGGCTAACTTCAGGTTAACTATGGGTTTCCGGTCCTCCGAAGCTGGTTCTCTTTTTAGCAGGCTAGATCTCCATGGTAACTGATGCTTAGCGGCTAACCTGGTCGGGAGCAGGTTAGGTTGCAGGCTAAGAGCTCAACTCAGTGAAAGCACTGCCTGCTGACCAATCAGAGCTCAGTGTGCGGAGTTTAAAGCGATCAAGTCATATTACAGGAGAAAGGAAATACAGAAAAGCTGCCGTCGCAGGAAAGACGGCCGGCAAAAATCACCGACTGAACGTGAACATTAATAAAATATCACCTCCATCTTCAGAGCAATCTGACTATTATAACATTAGCGTTAAGAAAGCTTACTTATCTGCCACAACATAAGTAACCGGATCAGAGTAACATTAAGTACAGTCCGCGGCATATCACTTCATAATGTATCATATATCTCCTGATCTGAGTCAGCTGAGCCGTATCTGGCCGTGCAACACTCACACTCAGGGTTCGAGTTATAATCTGAGCTTTATGGGTTTTTTTAAACTAACGCAAGCGCACGCACACACTCACACACACACGCACGTACACACACAGCAGCAGCAGCCTTGCTACAAACTTAAATATGAACAGTTTCAACGCACACCACATAACACATCTCGGCTTGCGCAGCACGTTCACAGGCATAGATTGCGCAATAATTGATTGCATACCTTGGGAAGAAGCGCAGGCATATTATCATTCAAGAGAGAATACGATGTGTAGCTCTTTTGGAAAACATGTTTTTGTTTTAGCCTATTTACCTCGTTAACATGGACACATGCATCATTTGTGATTAAAATAATGGTTGTTGGTAATGTATTAGCGACCCCCACAGATGTATGATTTCACTGCTTTCATAGGAGCTCAGACCCCTCCTTATGGGAGCTCAGCTCCCATTGGCTCCCACATAACTCGAACCCTGCTCACACTTACTTGCCATAAGAACATAATTGTACATTAGCTCCTAAAGCGCTGCATGGAGACCCGAAATGGCCCCAAAACAAAACCCTATAGCTCGCAATGTTACCAAATTATTTGTTTATCCCTATTCTGATCTCCTCCAAATTGTGCTGCCTTCTTCTTCGGCTCATGCATTATCCCAAGTTTCATCAAAATCAAAATCATTTTTGCGTAATCTTGCTGACAAACGATACGATTCAATATATGATACGATATAAACCAAAGGATATGATGTTTTTTTTCTTTTACAGATAGC